CCCCAAAACCCCAAAACCCCAAAACCCCTTTAAATATAATAACCCTCAAATAACTTGTATAAATAAAAATCAAAATGGAGAAATCCTTATCTAAACGGTACGAAAATCCCTCTTACCCCACTATCTCACCATTATCCCTATAGAGCGACATTTTTGCCCAGCTCTCCTTCAGGAACGGTCACCCAGACCTCATTCTTGGACACCGCCACCTTCATGACCCACATAGAAGACAACATGCTTAACGTAAAAGAGCAAGAGGTACAGTTTCAAAAATATGTTCCAGAGCTAAGCTTGTAGGTCATGTTCAGGAATAAGCGCAAAACCCACTTTAAGCATGCTTCCTTGGAGGACCTCAACAAGTTGCCCCTCGTATAGCTATTAAAAGGTATAAGTCGCTCTATTGGGTAAAAACAACCCTCTGTGCTATGGTCTTACTGAAGCTCTAGAATCACAACTGAACGAAAGCCGGTCAAGGAAACTTATAAACAAATGATAGACAATGAAAAGTAAGTTTTGGCAGAGAATAGTGGGGTAGTAATAGATCTGACATTTTCTAGTGGGTTCTGAGATAACTCTGAGTAGAAAGTAGTTGAGGATTTGTATATACTCAAACTTGGTTAGTATTTTAGACTCGTTAGACTATGTTATGGTGGAGGGTTAAACCCTAGATTTCTCTAATATATGTGATATTGGAGGAGTTCATTTCTAGTATTAAAGAAAATTCGAATTTTAAGGAATGCTTGTCGGTGGTGATGATCATTCTCTTCAAGAGAATCCATTAAAACTAAACATATTGAGATTATGCACTTACTCTGTAAAATGAAAAATATAAGAAACTTAAACAGTCTACCTGCCTCTTAAGAAGCAACTATTTTTCAATGACAACGACTATTTTTAAAGGTTGATTCTCACTATATTTAGGAAGAACAGAGCTCGTGAATTATCCCTCTCCAAAAGCACAGGTAAGTTCCAGCATATAACCCCTTAGTGTCTAAAGTCAGGCAAATTCTAGAGAAAATGAACGACGACAAAGCTAAAAGAAGGAAGAAATACGAAAAACTCAAACGGAAGGAGATTAAGAAAGTAACCTTCTCAGCTAATTTTAGAAACTTATCAGTCAAGGAAGGCTCAAGAAGGGGATCTCTTACAAACTTTTCACGAGCAGAAAGCATAAGGTTATCAAGATGACTGATCAGTAAGATAGCAATACAAGCCTAAATTTATGGTATCTATAGAATGCTCGATTACAAATCAGCTATTGAAAAAATTTCACCCGAGGATAAATAAATCCCTGAACTTAAGTAAACACTCCTGATGACCAGTTTAGACCTAAAATTGCACAGAGGTTTACTCGAAGAAAGAAGTAAACGAAATAAAATAGCAACACGTGAAAGACTCTTTCAAATGAGAGAAGTTGAAGATCTCAGAAAGATCATTAGCAATACTAGGGCAATCGACAAAGCTATATTCAGTACTTTCATTAAAATAACACCATAGTTGACAGATTCGTACAAGAGGAAGATGAACAAATAGTCTCTCCAAATATAACAGATGTTGAACAAGCTATTCGTAAAGCACGAGGCATTTATCCAAAGAGGTATTCTAGACTCAAAAACTTATTTGAGACTAAAAAGTCAGAACTCTAAGCCATTATGAGTAGAATACATCTTAAGGTCATAATTCTTACTAATAAAAATTCTTCAAAACCATCGAATGCCGAATGATTTCTGCCCAGTCTGGCATTAATCAGGCAACAATTCTCCTAAACAGTTTAGAAGTTAGTACTGTAGTTAGGCATGGGTAAATACTTTCACACCTGTGGCTGAGAAGGCCACTGAGATTCCTTAGTACAGAATGCACTGAGCAGAATATTTCCAAATTAGTCCCCCTGGTTTACTTCTAACTAATAGGAACAGTCGCATCCTGGATAAATTGCATCAGAGGGCATTGACTCTTTTAGGTGCTTTCTGTCCTAGAAATTCTATTAAAATGGGGTTACCAAATTTTATAGGAATAAAAGGGGTTTTGGGGTTTTGGGGTTTTGGGG